ATGTACACCCACTTTTATAGCCAGTTGCAAACGAATAAGGGCTACATCAGCCTGATGAGATGCATAACGTAATCCACATTGGACTTACGATCAACAGATTGCGTAGAAGAATTCGACCGGCTGTAGGAAAAACAACAACAACAAAAAAACAAAAAACAAAAAAAAAAACGGTGCAATTTTCTTCTTAAAGACATTTGAAGAAGGAATGCGATATTTATGCTCAGAATGTTATCAGCAAGAGCAATACAAAGACCAAAGGATATACAGGGTGTCCATAAAGTTCGTATGCACTTTAAAAAATTATAACTTTATTTGTATTTGCGATAGAAATAATCTGTAAAAAATGTCATAAAGTTTAATGTACCTAGTTTTAAGTATAGCTATCCATTACTCCACCGTGCCACTGCATTATTTTAATATCCTTCCTAAATAAATAAAGCTTACCTAGCAGTTCAAATAGTTCTTTGTGGCGTGTTTTACGAAGCGCGTCTATCACTTTGTCCGTTCACTTTAACACCTACAATTATTTTCTTACTCTTTACGTGTTCTTTTCTTTTTTCCCGTCGCATAATCGTTGGTATAGCCAACTTTTCTCTTCGTTCTATCCTAAATACAGGCTGTCCATAAAGTTAGGGTGCACTTTAAAAAATGTTTAACTTTATTTGTATTTGCGATAGAAATAATTTGTAAAAAGGATTAGAAAGAAGTAAATCAATAGTTTTTAAGGTTTTATTGAAATTTTATTTAAGTTTCCACATGTCCTCCATCATTAGCAATACAAAAGAGTAATACGATTTTGCAGTTCACAGAAAACATTTGTCAACTGATTTACAGTAATACCTGAAATCACATTAGTTATTTTAGATATACATAAAACTAAGTACATTAAACTTTATAACATTTTTTTGCATATTATTTCTATTACAAATACAAATAAAGTTATAATTTTTTAAAGTGTACACGGACTTTATGGACATCCTGTATATCTATTTTTTTTTACAGATATTTTATTGAAAAAAACGTTTGAACAAAGTAACTGTAAACAATTTTTTTCTATCCTCTGCCAGCCGCAATGATAGAGAAAGCATTACCTCGAACCATCGCCAGTGAGACACGCTGCAAGAGCCACTCCGTGTCGCGAGGCTCGACCCTTAATCGAGACGCCATTGCGCCAATCATCCGAAGGAACGCCATCGAAAGAGGGACAATAATCTCAGAAGTCTCCACTGCCACAGGAGTAAAAAAAAAAAAAAATCTATCAGCAAGAGAAGAATATTTAACTGTTTTTTTTTATATCTTTGCGTCCCGAGCGACGGACCCCGGCTCAACCGCGGACCTGATCAAATTATCGGCCGAAAGTGTATCCGCACAGGTCGCATCCCAAATCAACGACTTCCCCATTTTAAAAGGGAAAATAGTAATGCCATCCGGCCGCTTTCCATCACCACAGTCGAGGCCTACGGGTTCGATTTGGGAAGGGAACCCAGATGCATCCAAACCTCTTCTGATGATGTCGTTTATTGCTGCATGCCGTGGAAAGCGGCCGGCACTACGACGACAGGAGAGAGGATCCGACCGCTTTTTATCACCATAGTCGAGGCCTATGGGTTCGATCTGGGAAGGGAACCCATCTGCATCCAAACCTCTTCTGATGATGTCCTTTATTGCTGCATGCCGTGGAAAGCGGCCGGCACTACGACGACAGGAGAGAGGATGCAAACCAAACTCATTGATGGAAGCTCCACATCTGCATCTGTGACGCTCACATAATTTGAGTCCAAGACGGATCCCGACTCCGACCCGAGTGCACTATATTTTAGAGACTTTATAAAGAAAATCCTTAACGAATACTGCAGCCATTTATGTGCCATGCGTGATACATCGCTTAGGCGATCATGTATCTTCCGAGGCAGATTTTTTTCCCGCAGTAGGTTGTCATTTCTTTCTGCGGTAGACCAGTTGCCATCCAAAGCTATAGAACTCGGCCTGTCCTCCTATTTACCTATAGATTAATGGGTGAGAAGAAAAGGATTCGACTGGAATTCGAACTCGGTTCCTCGATTCCTCAATCCGAGCGGCTATCTATTACTCCACCGTAGAGAAGTCGGTCAAGTTTATTATACATTATAAATATTTCCTTGGCGTCCCACTGAGTCAGGTTGTGACACAAGGTCGATTTTAACGTGGGGAACCTGAATGGAAACACTCGGACCATTGGTCTAAGCTGGTCTTAGCTGGTCATAGCTTGTCCAAGCTGGTCAGAGCTGGTCTAAGCTAGACATAGCTGTGATACTACTAGCAACAGGGCAGGAGCACAGGTAAGTCTATTATACATTATATATGATTTCTTGAAACTTTGGATGGACGCGTCGTCTCTCCTTGAATTCAGAACGCCACAAATTATACGATAAAGTGGTTTAAAAAATTGAATTCACGCGAAACATGATTAACCAATGAAAATCAAACAACACAAAAGTAAAAATATAAGAATTTCTTTCTTCTTTTTCTTAGTATCTCATTCTATGGTGTAGCTTTAATAAAAGTGAAATGTTAGATTGATAAACGTTTCCTATTTATTCATTATCTTATCTTTCGGTCGGATTATGATCCATATTTGATCTGTATTTGATCCCAATTCATCTAATATACAATAAACTATATATAGTGAGACATTTTCACTGCATTAAGGAACCATTTAAGTACTTTTTTTTTAAATATACAAACCTTGATTCTATACAAATTACTCAATGCACCATCAAACCTTCTAACTCACGAAAATACTGCAGATCTAAAAAGCTCTTCAAATTTTTTTTTATCATCGGAATGATGGGATTTAATTGATAGGTCTTTTCAGGCCATTGTTTAATGTGTATACTAGGGTCGTTCGTTTACTGTCTATGGATGTTATTCTTCCACTTGAACCGAACAATTTTGAAATTAGAATGTATCAGGCAATAACACGGAGGAACGGTGGAGTAATGGGTAGCGGCGCGAATTGAGGAAGCGGAGAACCGAGTTCGAATTCCAGTCGAATCCATTAGATTCACTTATGTGTTTATACGCTTGGGAAAGGAATGAATCCTCTTCTTCTTCATTACCCAGCTAAGGGTAAATAGCAGGACAGAATGTGTTCTATAGCCTTGGGTGGAAACTGGTCTACAGAAAGAAATAGCGGGGGAAAATCTGCATCGCCTAAACGAGTGATTCTTTTTTTTTTTTTTTTGTTAATCACTACCACAAAACAACAAAAACAAAACAAAACAAAAACCGCTTAGAGTCTGTCTATATTTCTGAGATGAGGTATTATGTACAGTATTTACATTAGTCGGACTATTGTCCTCATCTTTGTCGCCATATTTGTCACAACGTTTCGGCCGTTGTAGAAGAAAGTCGGAGCGTACAACGGCCGAAACGTTGTGACAAATATGGCGACAAAGATGAGGACAATAGTCCGACTAATGTAAATACTCTAAAAAACCGCTTAACTTGCCCTAAAAGCTTTTAGTACTGGGTTGTACTTGATTCTCATTGGGTTACCGCTTTCTACTTAGCTAACTGAAGGCATAACTTTGTAGTATTACAGTAAATTATAAATATAAATAATAAATATATATAAATTATCTTGTGCACTTGTAAAATCTGAGATGTCTACACAGTTTTATATATTATTCTAAATTTACGTGCAGTAATCAAGTGTTATTGGTGAGATTCTTATTAAAAGGTTAGCAGAACATGCACGGGTGAAAAGTTTGGGAGTAGGGGTAGTGGAGGTATATTCGTTGCCATTTCTAAAAGAGTCAGTCACCATTTTTGACAGGTGGTTGGGGGAGGGTAGGACTAAAATCTGTGCGTGCGTGTCTGTGTGTCGCTTTGAGTGAAAAGAAAAGAAAAAGTTCAATATTCCAACAGTTGGAATGTTGCAAGCCGACAGATAAAAAAAAGCTACCCTGAGATGCAAAATCTGCTGATTTGGTGGGTAGCTCAATGGTTAGAGCGTCATCAAAGCGGCAAAGAGGTCTATATTAGAGAATAAGAGTTTAAAAAAGAAAAGAATATAATTCTCAAAGATTTTATGGATACCCTATATAAAGAATGACAAGGATAATAACTTTTATAACCTGAAGTTCACCCAATATAAGCTCTAAGAGACACCCAATGTAGATGCTTACTGAATGTGGTGTGTAATATGACTTTAAAAGAAGATAGAAAGAAGTGAAAATTATCAGAATCAGGGTGATAGATAGAATTTGACCCTTGACTTGAAGAAGTTAAAATTATAGTGTTCAGGAAAGCATCTACGTGGGAGTTTGTCCCATAATAGAGTAGTTCTTTGGAAGCATTCACACTTCCTCTTTACAAATGGAATACGGAGAAAATATGGATGATTCTGCTCCGTGGGCGTAGTGAAAATTATGAAGATAAGGTAATAAAAACGATTTATTTGAAGAGGTTAAGATTGTAGTATTCAGGGAAGCATCTACGCGGGAGTTGGTCCCACAGGTTCTTGGTAGTTTTTTGGGAAAAGACGCTTTGTGAACGGAATATCCTCCTCAGAGTTGGAATACGGCATAAATAAGGAGGATTCGACTCTGTGGGCGTAGGATGGCGACCAATAGTTGCAAAAATGTGAAATGTTGGAACTAAAGAATGGGACTGATCTGAATGAACATTTGCCAAGGAAATAGCGATAGAATACCGAAAGGTTTGCAACATTGCGTCTGTGTGGAAAGAGGCTGTAGAATTGAAAATCTTCTACAGGAGCACGTAAAGGATTTTGAACTCTATGAAACATGGAACGTAAAGATTGTCCAGCTTCAGCTCATGGCAACAACACTCCATGATCTTGGTTTTTGGTGGTACTTCCATAAACTGTGGTATCATCTGAATATGTATTTACTAATGATATGAGAATATTCATATGTAGATCTATCTAATACTAAAAATCTGTGATTCGTGCGTGCGTGGTGCGTCATCCGTCCGGCGCATAATATTGATTTAAGTTTCTTTTCACCTCTCTCTCTTTCCACCTCTCTCTCATTCAACCTCTCTCATTCCACCTCTCTCCTTCCACCTCTCTCATTCCACCTCTCTCCTTCCACCTCTCTCTTTCCACCCTCCTTTTGCCACCTCTCTCTCTTTCCACCTCTCTCTCTTTCTACCTTCCTCTTTCCACCTCTCTCTTTCCAGATCTCTCTCTTCCCACATCTATTGATTTCCACCTCGCTCTCTTTCCACTTCTCTCTTTCCACATCTCTCTTTCTTCCACCTATCTCTTTTTATATATCTCTCTTTCCACCTCTCTGTGATTGTGTGCGTGGTGCGTCGTCCACCCGGCGCATAATATTGATTTAAGTTTCTTTCAATCTCTCTCTCATTCCACCTCTCTCTCATTCCACTTCTCTCTCCTTCCACCTCTCTCTTTCCATCAATCTTTTTGCCAACTCTCTCTTTCCACCTCTCTCTCTCTTTCCACCTTCCTCTTTCCACCTCTCTCTCTTTCCACCTCTCTCATTTTCCACCTCTCTCTGTCCACCTCTCTCTCTTTCCACTTCTCTTACTCTACACCTCTCTCTTTCCACTTCTCTCTCTTCCCACTTCTATCTTTCCAACTCTCTCTCTCTCTTCCACCTCTCTCTTTTTCCATATCTCTCTTTCCACCTCTCTGTGATTGTGTGCGTGGTGAGTCCGTCCGTCCATTGCACAATGATGTAAGTCAAACTGATTTGAATGAATAAGATTTAAAAATATGAGCTGTTTATACAGTATTTTATTTGAAATGTTTCAAACAGACAATTTTAGTTAAAGACAGACAAATATTTTTTGGCACATTAAAAAATATTTTTAAGTTAATCTGATGTAAAATTTTTTTTAAGTGAATAAAATTTAAAAACACGAGTTGTTTATGCAGTAAGTATTTTTATTTTCACTTTTTTTTTAAAGCGTTTCACCCCAAGCAAGGCGAGAAGCCACTAAGACGCAAGGGGTTACAGAAGATTTGGAGCAAGATCAGATAGAAGTGATAGAAGAAAGGACGAGGAGAAGGGTAGTGGATAGATCAAGGCAACTGGAGATGTCGATTGACATTACATTTGAATAGCTGGAGATTATAGCTCTCAGGGAAACTTGAATAGGGAATGGAGTTCTACAGGTGAGAGGTGCGAGATATGCAGCTATTGGAGTAGAAGAGACGGCTACATTTAGGAGTTTCGACTGTGAAAGGGTGAGAGCGGGATGCCAGCCTCGTAGGGCGCTTGAACTCATGAAGTCTGGGAACCAGCGAATGCAGCTCCTCGGAGCAAATGCCATTAAAGTATTTGTAAAACAGACAGAGAGAGGCGACGGCGCGTCTGTGAGAGAGCGACTGTAGACGAGATGCCAGAGCAGGGCCAATATATTGCATATCCGCCTCTGGAGCCATGTAAGGGCGAATTGTTGATTTGTAGATCTGGAGGATCGATTCTGGCGAGAAATATTTCCTGTCGCGGCACAGGAAGCCAACTTTCCTTGCAGTGGATGAAGCAATTGACTCAATGTATTTGTTCCATCTCAGGTCAGCAGTCAACGTGAGACCGAGCAGCTGCAGAGAGTTGCTCTCGAGAAGTTGAGCGTCAGACATTCTAATGGAGGGCAAGGAAGGATCTCTGTGGTGATTAATAGCGAGCAGTTTTGTTTTTGAAGCATTAAAGTTGACCAGCCAATTCCTGCCTCAGTTCACAACCGATTGGAGGTCCTTTTCGAGACGCACGGCCAGGTTATTTTTGTCAGTGACACTAGATTTGTTTTTGAGGCAGGAATAAATTGTGGTGTCATCCGCGTAGATGCCAACTTGGGAATTTATGGCGCCAGGAAGGTCATTTATGTAGATAAGGAATAGAGTGGGGCCTATGATGGAGCCTTAAGGAACACCTGCGTTCGTGGGATACTTTCTTCAGACGAGTAGTTTAGTAGTTAATAAAAATCAAGTAGGTAGTAGGTCCTAGGATAGAGCCTTGGGAATGCTTGCATTGATCCACTGGGCCGTCTACATGAGTCTATCCGTGAGAAAGGAGTTGATAATTAATGTTTATATAAAAATGATCTACAATATGTTGCAAAATGGGGCATGGAATAGCTTGTCAATTTTAACTCCCCCAAAACGAAACTGCTCTCTTTTGTTCGTCTGAGAGAACCATTTTTGCCTTCCATCAGCATGGCTGGTGCTAACCTCCAAGAGAGTAATTCTTTGCGCCTTCTCGAGCTAACATTAAGTGGAAAGATTATATTGAATCAATTGCTAGGTCTGCTGCTAGGAAGGTTGGTTCACTGTGAAGTGGTAGATAATTTTTTCTAGCCAGAATCAATCTTATATATTTATAAGTCAACCATTAATCCTTGCATTGAATATTGCTGCCGCATCTGGTCTGGTGTTTGTGCTATATTATAAGGTATTGTTGATAAAATGTAAAGAAGAATCTGCAATATTATTGGTTCTGACCTGGCATCTCGGCTTCAGTCCCTTTCTCACCGCCATAACATATTTTCCCTGAGACTTCTTTGTAAATACTTTTATGGTAAATGTTCTGATGAACCTTCCGCTATGGTACTTAGACTTTATGAACTTAAGCGCATAATAGATCACGGTGGAGTAATGGATAGCGGCTAGGATTGAGGAATTGGAGAGCTGAGTTCGAATTCCAGTCGAATCCATTACATTCACTAACGCTCTAATACCATTGGGAAAGGTATGAATCTTTCTCTCCCCGCCCAGCTATGTGTAAATAGCAGGACAGACCGGGTTCTGTAGCCTTGGATAGCAACTGGTCTAGAGAAAGAAAGAGCAACCTACTGGGGGAAAAAATCTGCCGCGTCAGTCATGTATCGAAAGATACATGATCGCCTAAGCGTGTATCACGCATGGCACATAACTGACTAGATTGGCAGCAAGGTGTCATCATTTTACAATTAAAATGGCTAGATGTAACCGTAAGTTCTATGCTAACAGTTTCTTCTATCGCACTTCTCACTTGTGGAAATCACGTCCAGACAACTTTGATTTACAAAAATTTAAATGCGACATAAATCGTTATCTTCTGCCTTCTTAATTCCTGTTCTTTTATTGTTCTCTCTCATTAATACAGTTTCTTTTTATTTTCTCACACGCACTGACTCCTTGCGTCTTAGTGGTTTTATTGCCTTGCTTGGTGTGAAAATCTGATTTAGAATAGACAGTATTAAAAATCTAAATTATGTTTCTTTTATCCTCTTTTGTTAACCTTTTTTGTTTGTCTGTTTATTTTAACTTAATTGACGTCAAGAATCCTTGACATATAAAGTGATTTTTCACAAGTTTAACGAATTATTTGATATCGGAACAAAAAAGACGATGTGGCGTTCACATTGACATTTAGTGTCGATATAATTATTAGCAAGGATAAGTTAAATTTATATTTATATGTGTGAGCCCGCGACAAACAGAAAAGGGTGAATTTAACTCAATGAATGACATATGTTCGGTTACATATGAAACCCCCTTGATATATATATATATACATATAATCCAACCAAATATGTTAGCTCTATCTCTGATATTGACCGCTTTCTAATAAGTACTGCGCATATAATATATAAATATTTATATACACACACTTTTCACACACATATATATAAAGACATTTTTATGTTTATACATTCTTTTTATAGATACAAATATTTAAGTAAATGCTCTTTTTATAATAAACAATATTAATAACATTTATCGGCCTGAACGTCCAAGAAATTTTCATAGAAAATATTCGCCCTCCGACAGGAATCGAACCTGTATCCTATACGGAACCGTCATATAGCCTGACGTGCCTTTAACCGATTAAGCCACAGAGGATTGTTCGATTAGCTAGGTCGAATTTACTGCTTTTAGTAAATGCTCTGTTTATAATAAACAGTATTAAACAACATTTACCGGCCTGAATGAAAAAAAAAAAAAAAAGAATGTATAAACATAAAAATGTCTTAAAATAATTGTCGCACTTTTTTATTAATGTCATTTGTTTACATTTGGATACGCTTTCAAAATTTATATGTAACAATATATATATATATATATATATATATATATATATATATATATATATATATATATATATATATATCAGATCTGGAAGTGGAATAGATAATCTAAGTGGTTCTTTTAATATAAAATATTAAAATGATGTAGATCCGTAGAGAGCTCAATGTATAGACTACAGAGCGAGCAATATGATATACATCAAGAAAGAGACCGTATTTTCGTGATGTACTAAGCTTTTCCTTGATATATATATATATATATATATATATATATATATATATATATATATATATTGCCATCATGTTTTCATTAAGACGCGTATCATTGAATAATTTCGAAAAGTTTTGTTCACTTATTTTCTCTAGGATCCTCTCATATTCACGGACAATCTTCTTAGTATCCTTATTAAAAGAAGAGTGGAAATTACCATGTTGATGCATGTTCATATATTTCGAGTACTTTCGACATTAGCATAATGTCATCATCAGGGTGTTGTTTTTCTTCTAAGACAAGACTGTTAAATTCATCTGAAAGTGAATTTTTTTCTAACTGTGAAATGAAAAATTTAGTTACCTTCCCTGACATTTACACCGTAAAATTTAAATCGTACAGTATATAACCTTCTGGTTTTTCACTTCAAAGTTAAAGCATTTAACTTTCAGATGAACACAATTTTTGTCTCAGAAAAAAACAAAAAACAAGCCCCCAGGTATATCCTGTGCCCACTATATATAGCTACTGATATAGTCAGTTCACATAGGCGATAAGGAGTGTGGGACATTCCATTACAACACTTAGAAAGTGATAGTCGGATGGTAAGAATATGAGACAAACCCGTTGTGTAAGGAAAGTCTGTTTACATTTTTTGAGGAATAGGTAACAAATAACCTTATCAGATAGGACGGTCAGAAAATATTCTTCTTCTTTTTGTATTTAAGCCATTATTGTCTGTTAGGGATTTGGGGATGATCGGTGATATTGTGGATGGGCTCGGTCTGAGGTTGACCATGGAGAATTGTGAGATCAGTGCACTTTCAATACATTTTCTTATTAGTGAACTCTTTTCTCTTCTAATCAGACTGGCATTACTTTTCTCTTCTAATAAGACTGAAACAAAAAGAGTTCCCGTCCTGGGTAAGACGATAAATTACGTCCAGCAGCAAGGCCTCTGATAAAGAGGTTTTGAGGAGCGTGGAACCACCTCTTAATTGCTAGTGTTCCCAGGTCCACTCTAACACGGAGTGGTAGCACCTGTTAGGGTCCCAGCCATGTGCAAATAGTTAACCACGAAATTGGGGTAAAAATGGGGTTTAATACCAGGAATACTTTGTTAAACAAAATATCAGCAATACATTTCTTAAGAAATAAAAAATATTACCAGCAATAAATTTTTGAAAAAAAATATTACCAACAATACGTTTTTGAAAAAAATATTACCAGCAATACATTTATGAAGGAAAATTTTTTTACCACAAATAGATTTGACAAAACAAAATATTACCAGCAATAAAAACTTTATCGGCATTAAAAAAACCATTGAGTTTGATATGCCGTAAAACACAACAAAACCAAACCAAACCAAAATAGTTCCACCAGTTCATACTACCTTGTAGAACTGACTCCCACGTGGATGCTT